CTTTACTGCCCAAAATAAAAGACAATTTATTTTGCCATACAGATGCTAACAACTTAACGGTTATATATATATATGTGTTGGTCTTTTTACTTAGAATTAATTAATTAAAGGTCCGCTGCAACTCTTACTACTTTTAAATCCAGACTAAAAACGTATCTTTTTGTTGCTGCATTTGAGTGAGCTGTTTATATCCACACTGCAGTATGGCTTTTATTCATGTGTTCTATATCTGTCGTGTTTATTTTATTATCTTTGCTTTTTAATGCCTGTTATTAAATGCCATTTTATAATGTGTTTCTGCTGTATTTATTCTTAAATATATTTTATTTTAATTTGTAAAACACTTTGAATTGCCGTGTGCTGAAAAGTGCTATATAAATAAACCTGCCTTGCCTAGAATTATGTATACCTCTGTCTATTAAGATTTTGGTATTTTATTGAGCTATTTCTATAGTTTTTTTGTGCAAGAGATACTGCTTCTAAATCATCATTAAGAAAAGATACATCAGCTCTTGATAGTGCCAGAAACAGGGGAGTTTGTGCCGAAGCTTTTCATAAAAATGATGATAACATAAATATTTGATCACAAAAGTAGATTAATAGTTCCTATTAATATATATATATTTTTTAAATCATACATTTGTTTCCGTACTGTAAAATATACCAGTACGACATTGTCATTACAAATTCAAAAGCTTTACACTGCTCCAACAACATACACATGTTTGTGTCTCCGTAGCCTCTACTTCCTGTATAAGGCTACACGTGTTTCCCTCTCATTCAGCAGGCCTGGGTGATTGTACAGATCGCAATCACATATGGGTCATATTGTGTGCATATAATACTTTCCATTAGTGATGTCAGTCGGTGTGTCTGAGAGATCTGCGAGATATAAATGTTACCTTATTACATTTATTAATATAAACAGACAATAAGACCTTGGAGAACTGCCAAGTGTCAACATCTACATACTGTATGTTCATAATGGGTTCATCCTTTATACATCTGTTTACACCCTGTATATCACCGGCAGTGGCTCAGTCAGTAGGGGCTTGGACTGGGAGCCGTAGGGTCGCTGGTTCAAGTCCCCGACCAGACCTAAATATGGAGTGTGGACTTCTACTTGGAGAGGTCCCAGTTCACCTCCTGCCCTGCCGTGGTGCCCTTGAGCAAGGCACCGGACACCCCCCTTCCCCCCCCACTCCCATTGCTCCCCGGGCGCTGTACAATAGCTGCCCACTGCTCCTAGTACTAGCCTCCTTGTACTAGGATGGGTTAAAAGCAGAGGCCAAATTTCACTGTGTGTGCTCTGCATGTGTGACCATTAAAGAGGGTTTCATCCCTCCCTATTCTATTCTATATGTATATATTATTATAGTACACACTGTTTATTCTCCTGAACACGTATATTTAATTAACATTCTGTTTATCTTATTCTTTATTTTTTGTTTGTCTTTTTCTTGCAACTACATTTTTCACAATTTCTTTTCTTTTACTTTTATTTTAAGTATATCATATGTTACCTTTGAATCTTTTGAGTATTATTGGGATTCACATATGGGTCTTTCTCTCAGCACAGAAGCAGTGTGGGTTTTTATTTATTTTCTTCACATAAACAATCTGTTTTCCTGCATTATTTCATGTTTTAATGCAAGCTATACGCGTTCTTATTTCAGTTTTAGTGCCCACACTTTTACACATTTGTTGCCCCAGCTTACTGTTGATGCTTTGAACATAAGTGTGCATCTGTAGAGGGAAATGGAGCGCGCCCGGGAGCCTGAGTTAACAGCAGCCTCGCACAGCCGCAATCTACAAACATCACGAAAAACAGATGGGCCGAGTTACCTGCAGTCCTGTTGATGTTACACAACTTTTTAAACAATAACCAGCATTGTCAGCTCCCTTTCAGAGTTCATGTGTTGGCCCTGAAGAGCTCGCAGAGAATTGGTGAGGGAGACGTGTGCACTGCGGTTAACAACGTTGTCATTTAGTCTACTGCTAAGGGCTTTTTTAAAATCCCTTTACTCTGCCTTCAGAAAATGAATGACATTTTAGGCTAATGCACACATGTATATTAAAAGTACCATCTCCCTCAGTGCATTCTTTTTTGAACAGAATCCATACGGAGAGCATTATAAAGGCTTATATACTGATTTAAAAGTAAAGTATTAAAATATAATGATCATAACATTGAATTATATAAGGTGTTGGTTAGATCCAAAGGTATTCAGGTCCTTAACTTTATGTAATGCCATATGGAAATATTCCAATAACAGTAAAAGTCCTGCATTTAAAACTTTACTTTAGTAAATGTAATATTATTAATTAATCAAGTTATATCAGAAAAATGTAACCAGTATTAAAAGTCATTGTGCTGTTGAATGTCAATATTTTAGGATGAATATTCATCAATCTGTTTATTGCATTTTTTACTGTTGGAGATGTTTAATGTTTTGCTCCTTTATAAACTGCTGGATAGTTGTATATGCCGTCATGCATTATTTTACAAGAGGACATATTATGCTCACATTCAGGTTCATATCAGTATTTCTTGCCTCTACTGTGACACGTTTACATGCTTTAATGTTCAAAAAGCTCTTTATTTTTCTCAAACTGCCTGTGCTGCAGCACCTCTTTTCACCCTCTGTCTGAAACCAGAGCCCAGTCTGCTCTGATTGGTTAGCTGGCCAGCTCTGTTGTGATTGGTCAACTGCTTAGAGATGACCCAGTCCTTAGCCTTAATATGTTGGAGCACTAGCCAATACAAGTGCAAGTGTTACGAAAGTAAACAAAGGAGTCCAATGGAGGCGTTTCAGGCAGGGGGGGGAGTGTGTGGGAGAGAAACTCCCTCTGGGGGGAACTTTGGGATTTTAGCCTTTGCAGACCATTTACATGCACAGAAAGCTATATAACACACTACAGGAAAGGGTAATCCCCCAAAAGAATCAAAGGGCCTCTTCAATAAGATCATCATATGTTTGTAGGTTTGTTTCTAAGAAACACATAAGTTCTGAAGGGTCAATGCATCATGATGCATGTTACAGCTGATCCAAGACAAAACATGCTTTTTGACTGGAACAGGAAGTTAGGAAAAACTTCCCACTGATTATCATCATCAAATATTTATATTCTGTCGTTAAATGTGTTTTGGAAGTTCATGTTATTCCTCATCATCTGCATAACAACCAATGTCTCTGTCTTTTTTTTTCTCATTCATTTGGTAATTCCTTCCTGTCATTGAGCCTGCGAGTTCTCATTGAGAAGAAAAACAAACTCATTTCTGCACTTGATTTAATAATTTGCGCACACGGATTACTTCATTTGTGCTTTTGATTTAATATTATTTTTGACGTGAAGAGGCTTGACTTTCAAGGTCTGCCTATCACCGCCGAAACAAAGCCACAAAGCCACTTCTAATGGAAAATACACAGTGGCTTAACGGGAGCAACTGCTGCCGCCGCACAAAGGACAATTTATGAGTGCAAGGTTTTTCTTCCACTTTTTAACTCTGAGACAAAAGATACAATACAGACACAAACAACTCACTAAACTGTAAAAACACAGCTTACATCATCAGAATACACATAACCTTAGGTTGTTCATTGGTTATTATCATCTCTGCTATTTGAGACATATTTATTTGCCTACACTCTTGATTGAACTGTACCATCAATATTCATATAGTAGGAATGGCTTTAACTTCAATTGTAGGCTTCATTAAGGAGTTATTTTTCCCTTCCTTTTTCAGAAACTAATTTAGGGCAAAATTATGTTAAATTCAGAGGAATAATAATAAAGTATACTATAGCTAATATTTGCCATAACACATTCATTTAAAATGAAATTGTTTTTTCTTAAAAAGCCTACATGATCACACAAAACACCAGGCAGCTCCAGACAAATGTCTTGGAACATAATATATGACTATATTATAATCAATGCTAAACTTTCTTGGTAATTTCTTTTTATATTATATTACATTCTTTCCGTCACTGTAGTGGAACTACTGTTATTTGTGCACTCACTTTAAACTGTTTGTTTTATTTTTCTTTCCTTTTGTTTTAGATGTTTTTTATTCGATATATGTTATTCACTTTAATGTAACATGTACTTGTTTTGACCCCAGGAAGAGTAGTTGCTAAGTGGTAGTCAAAATGCCGGTGATCATTAAAAGCTTGGAAAAAATTGCTTCGAGGTGTGAACATGACATTTAATAGTTATATATATTTTTTAATTCCATGAGTCTTGCGTTGTAAAGTGTTAATTGCATGTTTGGTTGGGGGTCTGATTCACAGTTGGGTCCTGAAAGCCTAACATGGGCCACACAGCTGAGATAGGAGCTTACATTCATACATCTAACAATAAATTAAACCCTTCAATGGACAAATTATTCCCAACAGTGATTTTGACGTACTTATAGTCCCGGTAGCCCACCACTTGACCTGAGGTGACCTTGTAAGCTCATTTATCTAAGTCGAGCAGGTAATGAAAAAGGACAATGTTTAAGGTTCTGACCCGATGTGCCTGGCCCCGTCTAGAAGAAAACCACTTCTGAAATAATCCTTAGATGTAATCACTGTCTCGCTGTTAAGCCCATTTCTTTCCTTTTTGTTCCATTATGGGCGTGGCGTCCCTTCATTACATTTTGTAATACATTATGCTCTCCGTTGGTTAGAAACAGACAAAGGATTTGCACGCTGTATTAATAGCTCCCATTAAATTGAATGAAGCAACTTTTCTATCTCGAGAGATCTTCGGCGGGCTTTGTCAGCCAAACAATGAATATTTGTTTGGCTGACAAAGGGCCCCAAAGAGGTGTCCTGCTGATGTGTCTTCCATTTATTTTGTATCAACTTGACATGGCTGTCCTGAAGAGGTGACTCTTGAAACCAACTTGTTAAACATGCTCCGAGATGGCCTCAGTGTGTGCACATTTGTTCCATAGAAAAGAGATTCATGTTATAATACTAAAACACCAACAAGCACAGAACCGCACTTACCCGAGTTGGGGTCCACAGAGAAATATGGTTGTCCCTCCAGTATGCTGTACACCAGTTTAGCGCTGTTCCCGTACACTGGATCGTCGGCATCTGTAGCTGTTACCCGGGTAACTGGGGTACCTGTGGGGCAGAGAGACAGAGTTAGGAACTATGACTATAGGCAATCATCTCCACATCGCTGTGCCAATCAATATGAGACTATTCAACCCTATGTGGGGTTGATTTCCCAAAAAAAAAAAAATGTATCATCTGTATCCAGCATGCTTGATATGTGCACTGCCAATTGTGTCGTTTTTCTATCCGGATTTTATCATATAGAACAAAGGAAAAGTATGAAAATGATTGGGATGGGTTGGGAATCTTCTTAAAAAGCAAAGTCCTCCACAGTTGTACACAATGTGGCAATGAACCCTAACCCTAACCCTAACCTTGAAAATACAAAAGAAACATAACACTTCTAACCCTAACCCTAAATAATATGTTAAATTGATACAACCCATTGTATAAACAAACTTAAGTCACAACAATTATTTTCAATTATGTACTTTTAATGTTAATATTTAAATGGATACACATTTGAAAAATAACGCCAGATATAATTTGATTACTGCATCCAAAACACATGATTTTTTTAGCAGCTGCTAACTGCACAGTTATTTCAACTGTCAGTGGAAAAAAAAGGTACACACGGCAGCTCTTCAAAATAAAAACATGTATATATAATAAATGGGTATAAGTCCAATCAAAAGACCTCCCCATGCTTTTCCAAACCTTCTTGACTATCTTCGAAATACACAGCCAGACACCACAGGCCAAAATAGTTTTTATGCACTCATTTGGGCTAAAATGCTGTTCAGACCGGTGGAAAGAACCATCCAAAATACATATGTAGGTGTTTATGTTAGTATTGAGTTTGATTGTGATATCATTTATTGAAAACATTCCATCATTTTCCACTAAAGTATCCTTCACAGTATATGGACTATTGAAATGCTTTTCTTTAAAGGCCATTTTCTTAAAATTAGTTTTTTTTAATACTCTGGAGTGGAGTTTGAGTAACATTATAGAGTTTCATTTTTACTTTATACTCGACGTATCCACAGAGGAACTTTTTTATATAAAATGTATATCCTGTTTATATGACATTATATTCTTTATAACATGTGGAAATTGATATTTACGGCTGTTTTAAAATGTTTTCTGACATACAAATGTATCCAAAATGTCGTCCGTAAAAACATGTAACAGAATCAACGGATGGCCATGTTATTCTTTCACAGCAATTGGTCTTGAAGAACTGCCTCGTCTCTCATATAGACACTGAAAGCTTAAAATATAATGACGTCTTCGCACTTAAAGCCTGAAAATCCACACAAACACTTCTGAAGAAAAGTTGGCTACGTTAATGTAATGAAGGGCATATGTATTCTCAAAATGTTTATCGCTTATCCCTTTGTCTTTTACATAGGAGCAATGAGCCATTACCTCCACACCAACAATGCTCAATGTAACATAAATGGGGTTTCTTTATTAAACCAGCTCTATGAGGTTTTCAGGAAATGTACGCAAGGACCTTCATCAATATACCAACGCTCAAGGCTAATCACAAAATAGATTTGTGACAATTCGATCCGCCATTTACAGCTCCATTATAGGGTTTTAAGGTGAGACGCATTGGAAAAACCGAATAAAGAGACTATTAACGCAATTAAACTCCTCCATTTAATTCCCAGTGACCTCGCTAGCTCCTCATCAGCCTTGTTGTGAGGAAGTGAGAGCGAAAGTAGGAGAGGAAAGAAGCTGACATGCTGACGGTGAGCAACACGCTGGCAGGAAGCTACAGATGGTATGGTAATTGTTTCTGTGAAAGATGTTTAGAGGTGTTCTGACAACAAAGGGAGATGTCCCTCGCCGCAGACGGCACAGGTCCCGCCACCGGCACCTGCGTCTGTCCACTGCAGAGGAAAATGTCTGTAGCGCAGACCTCTGCCAACTTCTGGATCAGACATTGTGATTCAGTCATGAATTAAAACATGAAAATCAAACAGGAGTGCCAGATGTGGTGGAAACACAATCCCTGCACAGAGCCCCTCACAAATCAGACATCTGTATTCTGTCGGCTTGTTGTCTTTTGCTGCCTCTACAAGCACTGAACGAACCTTCAGCTGACCCTCTGACTAGTGTGCAAGACAGTCATGACTTAAGATACTTGGGATCCACAAGAGGTTCAAATACAACTCTTTGAGTACATATTTTATCTCCAAAGCAAAACATTCCAGTTCAAGGGCCTTTGAGAAATCACACTAAACCAAAGATGGCAAACGGACTGCATTCATATAGTGCTTTTTCCATTTTGTTTCAATATTCATCCATTCACACACACACCGTTAGCCATGCCATCACGAGCAATTTTGGGTTAAGTATTTTACCAAATGACACATTATTGACTTAAAAGAGCTTGGAATCCAAAGCACCAATCTTACAATCATAGGACAACTACCTCATGAAACACAGCCGCCGGTATTATTCCGATAATTGTTAAAGTGGAATCAAATTATCGAGACAATGATACTACAAGTTTACAACTCTTTTTGTAGACAACTTCAGTCTAACATTTCACATATGCCAGGGCTAATCTTGTAATTCTATTCAACGTTTGCAGTAACAATGTCATTTTCCCCGCTGTGGGACAAATAAAGGTTTTCTGATTCTGATAATGAAAGAAATGTTGTAAAAAACTTAATGTGGTTATGTAGTGCACAATAGTTCCTTGAGGTTTGCTCCAGCAAGTCAAACCCAATCCTTACATTGCCAACTTCACAACATGATTACAAATGTTAACAGGGTGGTCAATCAAAGGTTTGGTTACTTATATAGTATTGTGGGCGTGGCCACTTTGAGTGACAGGATGGCACTCGCTCATGTTATTAGCTGCTGGCTGTCTGTTCTGGGGCGAATGTCCTGTTCATTTTGCCCATTTTTAGATTATCCAGAGGTTAGGAGTTGTAGCCTCTGACACAGAGACTCGGCCCATGTTTTATTCAGTCTGTGGTTTTAACATATTTTTTGTTTGTACATTCATCTATTGTTTGATATGGCCAGTCAGCTCTACGACTTTGGATTCATGAATATAAAAACGTGTTAGTGAGGTTAGATATGACTCACAGCTGTTTTGTGGCTTGGGAAAAATACAACATTAATGTACCAGACTTTCTTTGAGCTTTACACAAAAGGTACAACTTATATCAATGTATTTTTAAATGTTCTGCATAACAATTATTAGCTGGATACAACCTTTTGAAGCATTTAAAGAATATCTCTTACATTTTCTTTGTAGGAAAATAAATGCAGCTAAACTCTTTCTCAACAGCAAATCATGTTGACTAATATGACAAGGAAGAGTGTATCCTTATGATGTCTTGTTGAAAACTAACTATTTTAGTCTTAGTTTGCTTAGATGTTTTTCAGATCCATACACTTCTCTTTTTTCTTTCATTACGTCAGCTACATGTGTCCTACCATTGATTTATAGTCGCCGCAAAGTCAGTGGTCTTGTGACAGCAAAACAAAGAGAAAGCCACATTTACACCTTAACTGGAGTAGCAGTTTGCACCGTTGCAACCCAATTATTTCACAGTGAGAGAACCTCAAGTGGTCCTCGGAGACAGAGGTGTTCTTGTAATTCATAGTCTTATGATGACCCATGCTGTTGTGTTTCCAGATCTTACCTTGTAAATTCCAAACCGCTTGTTACACCCCGTGCCTTTTGCAGTGTTTAGTTCACAGCAGATCAATGAGTTTCTATCTTTTCTCCCGTGTTTGTGTTTTCTGCAATAGTGCCAGCAAAAAAACAAACAGCAACTTGATGTGAGCTGCTGATAGACTTGAATGCAATAACCTGCCACTCAGGCCATTAACTCTACATTTTTATGAAATAAACTGCAAGATATTCTATTGCTACTCACAGTTCTGCTTAATAAACTGCCACAAATGTGTTAGATAAGTAAATAAAATATCCAACAAATTGATTGACAGGATGTAAGGAAACACAATTATATGAATTTGATCCGACATATGTGTGCAATAATCCAAATTGGTGTGCTAGTGCAGAAACAAATTATATCCCGTATTTCAAAGGTGTTTGCCAATTGTCAAATGAGCAAAATGAGAGACAGCTAAAGAAATTGCACCTCCTTTTTGCACCTCCTTTTTCTCCTCTTATCGGCCTTAAAGTTACATTACCACTACTACAGATGGAGAAGGCAGCACTGCACACATCCCTAATTACGAAAATTACCTTGGTGCTTCTAAAAGGTGTCTGACTATGGCAAACAGGCTTTATAAATTCAGTTACACTACAGATTGAAGTGGGGGGAAATAGAGGGTAGGGAAAAGAAAATCTTCATAAAAACAGTGGAAGCGGTGAAGCATGAAATAGCTCCCTCTTCCTTTCCCCTCCCACAGGGGTACAATGCTCCTCAACACCCATGATAAAAAGAAATGAGGGATTAGGAGAGCCTGTGTTTTGGTCCTGTTTCAAATCAGTGCAGATTAGCTCGTCCTTCCCCCCTTAATAATGCTCGGAAATTTCAGGGACACTGCAGAAATGGATGCAGCTGTGGGCCAAGCAAACAGGCACAGAAACTCAATTGTACCAGGGATATTGTCTCTGGCTTTTATTTGAAGCCTGTAGCATTGTGGCGATTACAATAATAGCAACACAACACCTATAAACTTCCAGGGACGAGAAAAAATGAAGGAAGGATTTAGGGAATGTAGAAAAATAATCCTATGGACAGTGTTTACCAAGTGTTAGACTAATGACCAGTATGTGTTACTGCTTGTGCATCTTTATCTAAAAGAGTGTTGTTCACTAACTGGTTAAACATGTTCGTGGAAGTAGGTTCCATCATGGTATTTCCTGTCTAAATTAATTTGTCTAATTATTCTCCTTTTGTTGAGCAAATGCCTAAACACTGAAAGATGACATTGAAGCTTCCTTGGAAAGCAAATCTCCCTCTGTAGCCCACAGAGTGACAGGCATTATTATTTATTTCAAGCTTCTACCATTGTTGTGATTACAATAATAGCGACACAACACCTACAGACTTTCAAGGAGG